TTTGTTCCATCTCTGGAATTAGAGTACTGGACTTAATCAGACTAAGTCGTCTCACAGATGATCCTGATCCCTGGGCCTGTTGAGGTGGAGATGCCAAAGCCTTGCTCCTATGGGAGCCTGCAAAACACAGAAGCCTGCCCATACTGGTTTGTGCCAGCCGTAATGGTTATCTCAGAGGTCAATAAGAACAATGAGAAATTTGCTCACTTTATGTAACATGAGATTTGTGATTGAATGTGCCAATCTTCTTTTAGCATTTCATTCTGCCAATTTGTGCTGAATAATTGAACTTGAATTAAACGACCTCATAAATTGAGAGACGAGGCCAAACCAAGACTGAAATATACTAAATACATTTCAAAGAGCTCTTCAAAGCCCCAGGAGAAATAGGAAGAAGAAATGCTGTTAATTAAAACAAGCAGCAGCAAGAAGAAAGGCAGCAGGAGTTAACCACCTTTTTAGAGTGTGTGAGATTAGAGATTGGTTTTTTCAGGTTGCCCTGAAGGTCAACCCCACTGAAACACCGTCAGAAGGAATTTGAAGAATTCTAAAAGTTAGAAATCCCCAGATGGAAATGCTGGGCTTCTGATTCATTGAAGTTTCTACTGTAAGTGTTGACTCCTGGATAGTCATGCTGAGTTCCAGTATCTTGAGAGGTTAAGAACCAATTGCCGTTGAGTTGATTCCAAATTATGGTGACCCCATGTGTGTCAGAGTACAACTGTGCTCCATAGTGTTTTCAGTGCCTGATTTTTTGGAAGCAGATCACCAAATCCTTTTTTCCAAGGTGCTTCTGGGTAGATTCAAACCTCCAACTTTTCAGTTAGCAGCCAAGCATGTTAACTGTTTATACCAGCCAGGGATCCACAAATGGGAACTCTGTAGAAAAAAAGAGAGGCACACTTGATTACATTTTGCAAGCCGAGCTGCAGGATGCTCCTGAGGCCCACCCTCTGTTTCTCATTAGGTCTACTCTGATTTCTTTTAGACTTCGGGTCCATGGACCAAAGCTTATTATCACAGCTGACTTCCAAGATCAAGCCTGTAACCACACTATTAGTCACAGAGTATGGAAATGGCAGCATCGTGCGATAATAGTGTTAGTTTTGTAATTTAATGCAGAGGGCATGGCATTACAAAGTACGATAGGGGAAACTGACTTTTTTAAAAAAGCCGAATTAGTAAATGTAGTAATTGGGATTTTCAAGTGTGATGTCCTTGTGTATAGGTGAAAGTTGAAAAAGTAGGCATCTTATCCTTACCTAGTCCAAGGAAGATAATTGCTCACCCACCAACATCTGCTAATTTTATTTTTAAAACACCTTAAAACCTACTCAAATTGCACATTCAGCCTTGACTTCCTTTAGAGGAAGAATGCAGGCATGAGAGGCTGGTTCATTGGTACAGCTGGTTTCATTTAGCTTGCAGCAGATAAACAGCGCCTGATCTTTTGGACAAAAGTGAAAATGTGGATATTATTTAAGCAAGAGGCATGCTTTCAATTATTAGACTAAACTGTACAGGAATAACTTTCCTATTAGACAATGTTTAAATTTATAGGCCTTTGTTAACCCATTTTTAATATTGAAGTTCTTTCATCATTTGATTAAAAGACCCTCAAATTAATTGGTGATACTTGGTTT